TTCTCTAACTCCCTAAGTTCATTAATCGTCAATTTTTTCGTGGTCTCTAATTGTTCGAAACCTTCCTCCACCATCTGCCAACTACCTTGGGTTTTGAATAGAGTCTTCATTTGGATAATCCATTTATTATAACTGACGTCTTCGTCAGCACTTGCTAGAGTAGCCATTTGCACTCTTTTCCTAATACTTAAACCCTAGCTCTTAAGAATCCTAGTTCTTCTCAAAATTTCTAGCTCTAGATACCAATTTGGTAACAAATAATTTCTAAAAAACAGTCAAATTGTATATTATTGATTCTTTGTTATACTTCAATTGAGGAATTTAATGTTGTATTTATACATTTTCACAAAATTAAATAATAATTATCCAAGACATTTGTTGAACTCCTAATTATCTGCTTATTATCTTTGTATTCTAATAAATTCTGAAACTAATTATTTAATTTTATTCAACAATACCACCCATTCTTTGCTGAATATGTATTCATGTGCTTGAATTTTTAATTGGGATGATGCGAAAGGTTGAAGGTGCAGCAAATGAAGATGGCAGGAAGCCAAGCATATGGGACACCTCTCATTCTGGAAATGGTACTACCATCTACTCAGTAATCATATATATACAATACGATTCATTTCTTTGGAGATTTAATTCCACTTTTTTTTAAAGTTTATTGGTTACGTTTTTGTTCATTGAAATTTAATGCAAAAGTATGTTCAGCAAATATGTATGCAGATGATAGAGATGTAAACTTATCACAATATGTTTAAAAGTTAAGAGTGAAATAAAAGGTTTGTGATGGCAAGTATAATGACGAAATAACTTTTATTAAGCTTATAAATAAATTACTCATATTTTTTAAAAATCTAATTGAGTATATAATAACTTGTAAAAAAATTTATAGAATGTTTATTGAAAAAGTGTTTATTTTTATTTTCTTTATATTTAAATTAAAATTTAATCTGGTGTGTTTGTACACTGTTTTTAAAGACAGTTTTATGTCTTAAAAAAAAAAAAACTTTGCAATCTATTTCCAAAACTTAACGTTTTATGATTTCAAAAAACAAATTAAAAAATAGTGTACGGTTTAGAGTTGTTTGTATTCTGTGTTTCTGACCGTATGAAAACTAAAATCATACATCGAACATATTTTCATTAATGACGCGATTATAATAAATTACCCTAATTATGAATTCTTATCTAAATTTTTTTTACTTAGACTTCATCCAAATATTTATTTGCTTCAATCATAATATTCTTTAAAAAGTAAAATGAAAAAGTAGGAAAAAACGAGTCGAATATATAATTTACCATCATTATTTGATTCGAAGAAAGTAGTTTCTTAGATTAAAAATAGTAGTTTGTTAGATTAAAGCATATAAAGAAAACGAAAACTTGTTATTATGAAGTAAGAACACTTGGTGCAAGTACATATAATTTGTTTATGAGAAATATATGTTGCAGGATAGTGTTATTCATCTAACCTAAACATAATTCAATCAAATTCTTACAAATTTATAATTGAGTAAATTCAATCAAATCACTCGGGCGACTACTGTTTATATATTTACGATAACACGTTGAATAAAGGTATCAAAACCAAAAAGAAAGATGAAGATAAGTGAAAGAATCAAATAGGATTTAATTTAATTATAGGATATAAGAAGAAACTATGGAGGTGAAGAAGAAAATGTCTTATTCTTCCTCACCCTATGTTCATCTATAAAGATTCACTTCTTTTTTTTTACTTTTCCAAAACTTTTGAGAAAGGTTCCACAATAAGTTTTTTGAAAAAATATTATCAATTGTTTTTGGAAGTCTTTCTAATCAATTTTTCAAAAATATTTTAGAAAATTAATTTTGAAAAACTTCCAAAAAAATTTCAAAAAATTAATCCAAAATATTTTTAAAAAACTAATTCCAAAAAACTTCTAAAAGAGCGAATTTGGAACTTAAATCATGTAAAAAATTATTTCTAAATTTTTTTTTAACTTTTCAAATTAATCTTTCCAAATAGTAAAATTATATTTCATATTTCATAATTCAAAACTAAAAAAATTATATATTCATCTGAAAATTTTCTGAATTTTTTAATTCAGAATACTCCAAAATATGTTCCTGATTACTCTGTCTTTTTTAAATAAATATAAGTTGCAGAAAGAAAGTATAAGTGGAACTTAAACCCAATCTTCTTGGCCTACAAGAATATTTTAAGCTGTTCAAGGCCCATATTGGTCCAGCAAAAAAAGAATAAAATAAATATATCTTACGACTTAAAGAAAACTCACTATTTCCACCTTCTTCATTGACAAAAAAAATACATATTTCTGTTTTCTGCATTTTCAATGGGATTAAGATTGTAAGCAAAGAAAGTTAGAGGGAAATTTTTGTTGCCCACAATTAGAAAATTGACGTAATGGCTTTAGGTCAAATCCACTTTTCAAGCAACAGACTAATCAAAATTCCCTCAAATTGCAAGTGGTGGATTTCTTTATTCATTAATACCCAAATTTAGTAATGAGTTTGATATTGATGCTGCATTACAGTGGAGGTTTCTATTGCTTAATGCTTCTCAGTGATTGGCTCGGTGTATTTTCAGCTTGAATGCTGTAGGGTCACCCATTCAGGATTTGTTGAGTTGATTAAGGATATTGTGTATGATAATTTGATTCAACACTTTGATTGTTATTCATTAAGAATGTCAATTTTCGGTACGGTCTGATTAGGTTAGTGCAACCACTGTGTGTATTAGGTTGTAATGTCAATTTCTTAATTGGAAACATTTTCAAAGCCAAGATCATGGGTGGCTTTCACCATGAAATTAATTTCAAAGCTGTTAGAGGCTCCAATATTAGGGTTGGTTCATTGCTGCTTTGCTACTTCTCTGCACGGTATTCTCATCTTCTGCTTTCCAACTTCCCCACAAAAACAGCTCACCCTTCACACTCCTCACACCCCACTTTGTTAAACAATGATCTTCATAATTACCTGCTCTTGAAAATGAATAATAACTTTGTGTGTGACAAGTGGTGTATACTTTATTAGACCTATATAAAATTGGCTAGCATGCAAGTTACTACTCATATCTTGGAGGGCATTTATAAAAGGGATTCATTTTTCTTGTCAATGACTTCACCAATCTTGAATGGATTTGGCACATGTTGAAATTACCAAGATCAGCACTAGGAAATAAATGGTGGGGTAGTATTATAATCTGTATTACTTGTAACAGAGGAGATGCATTGAAATTTATAAACAGAAAATTCTGAGTAAGGCAATTAATTCTTGTTTTCAGGTATGGTAAAATAATTCAGTCTTCACTCAATTTCAAAGTAAAAAAAATAAATATATATATATATATATATATATATATATATATATATATATATATGGAAAGTTATTTTGCAAATCACTTAATCATGTACAGAAACAAAATCCTATTCCAAGACTATCAAATTCAGCTAAGTTCCCCTCTCATGCTAAGTTTCAAGTACATTATTCTCGCCTACTTTCAGTCACGTACGCAATTCAACCCTTAACCATAGATCTGTTTCTTTTTAAGAACTTTACTTATCGATTCTCACTTTGTTTCTTTGCTTTATTTTCGTACCCTTTTCTCTCTGTCATGCTTCATTTTAAATTGGACCAATTTAGTCACTCTTGATGACTACTTGCATTTGAATCTTGTCTTCTCCCTTATTTGCATAAAGGTAAATTTTCTTACGAAATCAAACAACGCTACAAAAAGTACCAAACATAGCAATTTCTACTAAAGGAAACACAAGGCCTTTTCTACCCAAATAAAGAAGCATTTATATATTGACGTCCAAATAGAATGGCAAACTGGTGAGAAGGAACAAATTTTCAATATTCCTCTAAAATCACAAATGGACATACAGGGAGGAAAGAAAGAAAGTTGCTCATGCAACCAATAGTTTCTATCAAGAAGGAAAAGATCAGTTGAGTATTGAAATAAGAACAAATTGGAAGCTACCATGTCCCACTCAATATTGGAACAACCTTGCATAAATTACATAGATCAATATGTAGTGTATAGTGGAAGAACAATATTGTTGGACTTATTATGCAATAGAGAAAGACACGTTTGGGGAATGAGGAATTATATCTAAACATGGTTTCTGATCTTAACATTCTTTGTTTGGTAGCTGTTTGAGTAGAGAACAGTATTCAATGGCTGAACATGATCCTCCTTTTAAATGGAGAACAATAAAATCATGATTAAGTTAGGTGTATAATCTTCCTTAACGACTTAATGTCATTATTAATCTAAAATTTTAAGACAATGACTTTTTTTATAAAATATCAAAGGTTCCCTCTTTTAATGCTTAAACAAAATCAATTTTTCAAACGAAATTATTTTATTAGTCTAAGTCAAATTCTCACTTATATGAATTCTGATATTTCACAGTATTTTTGTCGTATAAACTGAGTACACTACAAAGACTACTAAGTGATTCATCAACTCCTACACAACAGATCTATGTTTGTGAGTCATACACAATGTTGATACCGTACATCATAAAGTAATGTATTAAAATGGAGTAAGACACAATTTAGTCTAATAATCATGTGGGACCAGCATCTACTTGATGGTGAGAACAGATCTATTGAATATTCAACTAGTGATATGAGAGACAGAAACTTGACAAGAATAGTATATTTCCCACCCAATGAATATTCTACAGGGTCTACTTAATGATGTAGAAACTAGAAAACATGATGTGTGGCTAAATGCATAGCTACCTCTACATGACCAAAGTATGAGGTGCCAAGATGTTAGCCTTTCAACCCATTCCTTAACCTCCAGTATCTTTTAGCGTTGTTTAGTCATGCCAAAGTATACTATGCTTTAACTTCACTCCTACTCAAAAATGCATAAAACCTCCCCCTCTAAACCCTTTGTACAATGTCCTCATCATTCTGTTGTGTTGAGCACCATTTCATTAACTCTTTCTTCCCACCGTTAAGCTCCACTAATCCCCATGATCCCTTCAGGAATAATGAAGCCTCCCAGAGGAAAGCTTTCTCTTCCCATCATTATCATCACTACCTGTATTCTTGTTTTTGTGGCTATCTTGTATGTGGAGAGACTCAGTTTCCCCTCTTCCAAGTCCATTTTCAAGTTCAAACCATGTCCTAGACAAATCAAACCACAGTCTAGTAAGTCAGCTTCGCATATGCTGCAACTATATACCTCACCTCATATTGCCTTCTTATGTTTTTATTTATCATTTTGATTCTAATGCAGATGATAAAAAAGCAGATGAAGAGGTTGTGATTGTGAACGCATCATCATGGATTGATGACAGGTTTGATTTTGACCCTGAGGAGTGCAATGTTGCCAACGGGAAATGGGTGTTTAACAATTCAATAACGCCTCTCTACTCTGACATAAGCTGTCCATATATAGATAGACAATTTTCTTGTGTCAAGAATGGGAGGAATGATTCTGACTATCGCCATTGGGAGTGGCAGCCAGAAGACTGCACCTTGCCACGGTAAGTTCCACACTTGAACTTGACAACTGTAATTCTAGAACTTGCTTTATTTATGCTCAGTTTATATCACCTATAATCCAAAATGACTATATTTTGCAGTTTCAACCCAGAGCTAGCCCTCAGAAAGCTTCAAGGGAAAAGACTGCTATTTGTTGGGGATTCACTGCAAAGAAACCAGTGGGAGTCTTTTGTCTGCTTGGTAGAATGGGTCATACCTCATAAGCATAAATCTATGATACTGGGGAGAGTTCATTCAGTCTTCACTGCTAAGGTATTGACACATTGATTGAAATGATGGTCAAATATGTTGACTCAACTCGATCAGGTATTAACTTAATGAACAAAACTTAGATGCAGTTTTACATGTGCTTTTGCGGTTGTTTTCTGATCAGAATTTGAGTTTCATTTCAATAAAATATTTTAGCAAATGTTAACATGCATTATAAAGGCCAAACTCCGATTCTAATTAGGAAACAACACCAAAAGCACGTATGAAATTACATCTAAATTTTGTCTTAACTTAATCAGATGTTCTTCCGGCTCTCAATTGTGTAATTGACACATACACAATAAATAAACACACTAACTCTCAGACATCATGCTTCTTTTCTGAAAACTCAAGCTCATTCTTTTTGTTTCTGTGCTATCACAGGCATACAATGCTACCATAGAATTCTATTGGGCCCCTTATCTTGTGGAGTCCAACAGTGACATTAACATTATAGATATAAAGAAAAGGATAATAAAAGTGGATGCCATAGCTGAAAGAGCCAAAAACTGGACAGGAGTGGACATCCTTGTATTCAACACCTACGTATGGTGGATGAGTGGTATTAGGATTAAAACAATGTAAGCTTTCTTTGATACTCACTACTAAATCAGCATAATATTTCTGCTATTGTTTTTCCGTTGTTCGTGGCAAACATTCAACGGTCTTTCTGGCATAACAGTGCCTAACCTCTAGTTTACAATTTCAGATGGGGTTCCTTTGCTAATGGACAAGAAGGGTATGAAGAATTTGACACCCCAATTGCTTACAAGTTAGCTTTGAAAACGTGGGCCAACTGGATCGACTCAACCATCAATCCAAACAAAACTCGGGTCTTTTTCACCACTATGTCACCAACACACACAAGGTCTCTTTCTTAAGAAAACTTAATTCAACTTATTATTATAGCAACAACTTAAGCCATAAGCTAAATGCATGTTTGGATTCACAGTAAATCCTCGACAACCATGTTGAAATACTAGTTAGGTAAAAATTCACATGTTTAGTATCATGTTAAGAACTTGATTCCGAATCCAAAATTGATTTGGAGTTGAAGCAACTTCCAGTACTTTTTTGCATTGGATAAAAAAATTATACTAAAATTTACTACTATTTTAAATTTAGATTATAATAGTTCAAACATAAATCACATCAAAATTTAACAAACATCAGTTTCATTCAAAAACAATTAATTTGCTTCCTTTATGTTTCTTTGTAAAATGCTCAATATTGTAACAAGTCAAGTGTGTTGTTTCTCAGAAGCCAAGACTGGGGCAACATGGAAGGTGTGAAATGCTTCAATGAGACAAAGCCAGTGAAGAAAAATAAGCACTGGGGAACTGGTTCTGACAAGAGAATAATGAGTGTGGTGGCCAAAGTGGTGAAGAAAATGAAAGTTCCTGTGACATTCATCAACATTACACAGCTATCAGAGTACAGAATTGATGGCCATTCCTCAGTTTACACTGAAACCGGAGGGAAACTGTTGACTGAAGAGGAAAGGGCTGATCCACAAAACGCAGATTGCATACACTGGTGTTTGCCTGGAGTTCCTGATACTTGGAATCAAATACTTTTGTCTATGTTGTAACAAATATATATCTTGCACAAAGATCCATGTCTTTTTTCTTTAACTCTTGTGACATGAAGATGTCAACTATTTTGTCTGTGTACATTATTCATGTTGAAATGCCATCTGTGTGATACAATATACATGCGTCATGAATAGTTTACAGTAGAGAACATTGTTGAACCAAAAAGGGTCACATTGGAGGGTGTCACATCAAAAGATATTGTATCCCATTTCACGTTCAACTCAAAGAAACCAATTATTGCTTCAGTTTTTTCAATTTGTTACCATGATTTTAGGAGTGAATCGATCGTGAAAAACATTCAAACACTCAGTAAGCATTTGACATCTCCACAGCCAAGCTCTGTTATCACAGTGAATGCAAGTGAAAGAAAGATCCTGAAATTCATGGCCTATGACCAAATGTCACAACTTTTCCCCTGTCAAGAACAAACCATTGAAATTTATGAAAAACATAACAAATAAGTCTTTTGTGTTAGAATATCCCGTAGGGTTATTAGGTGTCCAATCCAACTTGACATGGTTTAAGGAAGTTAAAAATATTATGAACCAGAACGGGTTATAATTTTTTATTCGTTCTAAACTTATATTAGATCAACATGTGATAAGTCAATTTTGTTCAGATTAAAAATTAAAAAAATTTATTAATAAAATTAATTAATTAAAAAAATGTTTAAATAAAAATTTAAATATATTTTAAAAATTTAAATTATATTAATAAATTTATTTTTTATTTTAAATATAATGATTTAATATATAAATTATAAAATAAGATATTAATTTAATTCTAAAATAAAAATTCAAAAATTATTTTTAATTATCAATATTTATTTTTAAATAATTTATTTATCTAAAATAATAATTAATCTTAATTATTAGATTGTGAATAAGTGAATATTAAATATATTTTTATAATAAAATAAAAGAATTTTTATTAAATTAATTTATAATATATATATATATATATATATTAATGACATAATTTTATTTTTATTTTTTATTTAAAAATTTTAAATATATATATATATATATATATATATATATATATATATATTCAAACCGTTGAAATAAAAACAAATTTAGTGTAAATTTTTTATTCCGTTTACAAGTAATTTCTTTTTCTTTGGTTTGTTAAGACTTTTAAACTCTGTTAGAGCAATTCCAATGCTAATGTTAATAAAAAAAATATCGTTGAAGTAATTTAATATGGTAATAATAATTTTGAAAAGTTAATTATTGTATTTAAAGTTGTTTTTTTAATTAAAGTTAAAAGTGATAATTTAATATGGTAGTAATAATTTTGAAAAATTAATTACTGTATTTAGAGTTGTTTTTTTTAATTAAAATTAAAAGTGGTAATTGAATAATGAATTATTTATAAAAATTAATAATTAAAATGTAAAATAAATATATTGAATCGTGTGCAGCAAGAAGAGTGATATAAACTAAAACTCAACGCCCGGTTTTAACCCCTTTCGCCGCCTTTTTCTGGTTCCAGAAAGATCATCAACCTCCCGTTCCCTCCACAGCAATCTCTCAGTTCAAGGTTTGCGATTAATACCCTATTATATCCTAGTATGTTACCTTCTCTATTCCCGGCCTTTGATTTCTATTTTAAAACCCTATTTCATGTTCTTGTTCTCTAGTCTGTTCATTTTTTCGCCAGAAAAAAAAAAAGGGATTGAGAAAGAAAAATAGGATTGTCACCTGATATGTTTTTTTGGAGAGGTTTTGCATATTTTTGGATTTTGGGTAATAATTTTGAATCGTCTGCAGTTTGAAGCTGAGAAATAAACATGGCTGGTGGTGCGAATTTCATGCAAAGGGTTCTCTCTTACGTGGTCAACGAGGTTGTCGTCAATGGTCTTGCCAACAGGTACGTGTTTTTGCCGTTTTTTTAATTATTTTTTAACATTATTTCTGTTCTATTTTTTTGTGCATGTTCTCTGGCCGTTGGGAAAATCTCTGTTATGTTGATCGAAGAGAGTGAGATAGAGCCTCCAGATTCTGATCATCTTTTAAATTCAATCTCTAGGGCAACATTGTTTCACTGAAATTTTAAGGGGTTAGAGAGGTTTGCTGCGCGGGCACATATAGATACCATGATAGTTGGTTGTTTTTGTTTTTTATGTATTAGTTTTTCCTGTGCTGTTCTTTAGAAATTTTAGTTATATTTTAATGTGGACTGTGCATAAATTATATGGTTGTGTGTGAATTAGAGCAAATATAATTTTTATTAAGATTCTAATTGTTGTTTTATTATTGCTGATACTTGCTTCTGGATTGAGAGACTCGGACAAGCTGAGAAAGAAAAACATGGAAAATGGGGAAGTTTGGAAACCTTGAAATTGAATTAACCATATCTATGCTTGGGCATGAAAACTTCCCATATGATGACCCGGCTATATCATTACATTGACTGATATATCCATTTCTATGTTTTGGTAACACTCATTAATTGCAGAAAATCTTGACATTAGGATAGTTAATCGTGTGATATGTACTATTATAAGATTGTCACCTTGCAGAGGTTGTGTGTATTGTGTCACGATTTTGTGTTGTGCCTACTTTGCAGCCAATATTGTGATTCGTAGCTCTCAGGGATAAAAGTCATCTTTATCCCCATTCTCTTAGTTTTCTAACCCATTTTTTTCATCTGATTTCTCCTCCCTATATTTTCAGATACTGTTTGAAACCTTTCTTCCTTATACCTTAATAAAAAAAAAATACACAGACACTTGCCTCTCTTTTGAGCCAACCTCTGATCTACTGCTTGCTAGCATATTTTTGGCCAAACTGGTTTTGTTTTTTTACACACCCACACCACATCTAGGTCTTTGTTTGCGTTGTTCTGCTGACATGCTCTGTCCTGATTTCGGACTCACACTCTCTGTTGTGCATATCTGTTTTTTTTTTTTGTTGTTTTCGTTTTTATTCACATTTCACTGATTTCTGTGATGGTTCATGACAAAGTCATGTGTTGGATTTGGAATTGTGACAATCGTAGTTTGTATCAATGACAATTAAGAGGAGCCCATGAGCCAGGTTTGGCTGGGACAGGCCAGATCCCTGTCCCATATTGTGATACGGTCAACCTTTAAGACACAATTCAAGTTCCAGCCTGATCAAGGCTGACTAGTGACTGGATTGAGACCTGGTAAACACAAGATTGAGATAAAATATGCAAAATTCTATATTATGCCTCGCTAAGTCATTAAATATTTGAAGTGACAAACGAAAATTAAGCGATTTTTAACATTATACTTCCAAGTAGATTGTACCTATGTAAAACTGTTATTATGTAATGCATAAGATATGAATTTAAGTCGAGAAGGTTTATAATTTATGCCTCCCACTAGGATGTAACTATTAAATATTATATAACAACGGATGATGATTAGCTAACAAGGTGTGTGACCTGAATCCTAAACCAAAATTAATTGGCATTTTGGCTTACCCTTTTCGGAACCAAACCCAATTATCTTCAAGCTAGGTTGGGTCAATGATGACTTCTTCAGGCTTGTAATGATTGCAGAGATGACTGCAAGAATTGGCATACAAAGGAGTGAGGCTTTGAATATTTCAGATAATTTATATAATTATTTAATGTATTTAATTAGAAGCATTTTATAAAATTTTCAGCTTGCTTTATTGCCCAGTTTGTTCATATAAAATTTTCATCTGGTCTGACAAACTCCTGATGACGTGTTATCACAGTTTCCTAACCCTAACTTGATTCCGGTAGTTATTTTCATTACCAAAAATTGCTCCATAATCTTGTAATGATTCCATAAATTACTGCACGAACTAACTTTAGGATTGAGGTTTTAAAAAATATGCTTCATTATTTTGGTTTTAAAAGAAAAAAACTGTTACAAATTTTGTAATAAATTAGTCTCCGTGATATGCTTCAATATTAGTTCCTTGTGATTCCAAATTAGCACACAGATATTTAAAATGCGGGTGCATTCAATCAGTGTCCTAGGTTTTCCTGCTTGAGTTATATTAATTAAGTTTGCACAAATCTCTGTTACTGTATTAGTTATTTGTTTTCTTGGTTACTATCATTTCTCATGTTGATGTTTCATTGTGATTTCCCAGCCCTGCATTTCAGAGATTTGCAGTGCGGACATCAAGAAGAATTGAAGATATATCTCACAAAGGTAATAGGAGAAGAACGGTTGTCTTTTGATAGTTTGATTGACCTTTTGGACAGATCTGTTTCACACTTGTCATATATTCTGACAGCTGCTCAGAAGAGGCAGGAGCTAACTGAGCAGATCAAGGACATCTCAAAAAATATGGAAGATGTAAGCTGTCAAATTAATATTAAATCAGCTACTACTGACAATGTGATTATTGTTGTTTAACTTTTCTTTTTTTCTTTTGCTGCTTTCAGTCATTCAAGAAGCAGTGATTATAGTGATCTTGCTACAGTGCTGAAGTTAATGGGTTTGTGATCTCTTTTGCCAAAGATGGTGCAGAATACAAGGCCGTGTCTTCTACATTTTTGTTTATTAACTCGTGATCTCATAGTTGGATGTAAATGTTACTCGTTTCTTCCAGTTTGCTTGGTGAACTGAAAACAGGATAACGATATTACTGCTAGTTTATGATACTACCTTCACCAAATTAGTCTGTCTTTCATTTGAAACTATTGGAGACTGATGATTATTACAAAATAGTATCATATTTTTTACATTGATTTATTTTTCTAGGGGATCCTATAGTGCCATGAAATGGACAAGAGATGTAGCAGCTGATAGGGATTTTATTTTATCCCTCCTTTTTTTACTGCATGCTATCTTCTTTCTCACATGTTGCAATTTACTTTTGGAAAGAGTGTTGGTTGAATGATTTTTAAAATTTAGTTTTGGAAAAATAATTAAAATGTTTTTCAATATCTTAATTTCGAAAGTTACTGGAAACACTTTGGAAAATGATTTATAAATTACATAGTGCAATTTTGGTTGTATGAAGTGACTTTCTGAACTATATTGTTACAGTTGTTATTGTATTTTGGATTTAAATTATACATGTTTAAAAGGGAAATTTCATAATTTTCAGAAAATTGACTTTATTTGAATTATTTTTATTTCAAATTACGTACGTGTGTATAGGTAATACTTTTATACTAACATTATTTTTACTACAATTATATACTATATCTATATTTATCTCAGAAATATGAAACAATATATTGTGTACCAATTGTGTCCTTGCATAAGTTTAAAATGTAAGTTGATCTTAGATGCTTTTTTTCACATTTACCATTTTACCTATATTGGTAAAATAGATTTTTTTTTTTGCTTTATTATATTTTTATTATAAATTTGGTTTTTGAGTTTTTTCTAGTTTCATTAATATTATTGAGTCATTTAGTAAAAAGTATAATATGATATTGACGTAATTATATTTACTCATCATCTTACCCTTCATATATAAGTATTACTTTAGTGAATTCTTTTCTTTATTTTAGTTTGAGACTAAAGTATCATTATAATTTTATTACTTTTTTCTTTTTTTTCTTTATTAATTATTGTTCTCTATTGAAAAGAAAAATTCATTAATTATAATGATTAAAAAATATACATTTAAGATTTTAATATAAAATAAACTCTAATAATATTATACACAGAATCGTCTAATTTTAAAGAAGGAGAATATAAAAATATAACTTTTAAAAGAGGGAAAGTGTGAAAAATATCAAATTTTTAATGTCGTTTTTAAATAAAAATTGAAAATTTCTAACTTTAAGAAATTGAACTAATCTTATCAATTTATAAATTTACAAATTTTTTTAAGTTTCTTATTTATGTAATATACTTTATGATAAGTATATTTCGAATTTCTAGAAGGATAAATTATCTTATAAAAAATCTTTATTTTAACACATTATACACAACTTAAAATATATATGATTTTTTCTATTTTCACAATAATTATTTCAAAATTATATTAAAAGTTATTCTGGTTCACAAAATTTCTTCATAAAATGGCACAAAGATTACTAAATAGTAGGAACTATAATACTTGAGATAAGTATATATTATACTCGGATGACTTTTTTTCTTGAAATGATTTTAAGCTCAAGGACAAATCATAATAAATCTTAATCTTTAAGTAATTATCATCAATAATGTCAAGTTTGAAAATAAAAAAAAAAACTATTTTTTATTACTTATTAAAAAATCTTAAAATCTATTAAACTTAATTTTAAAATTTCAAATTAATAAGTAATTTTTCACTTAGGTTTGAGCACAATTTAGTTATTACTAATTATTTATAATAATTTTGAGATACAACAATAGTAACATAACCTTATGAGTTATTAAAATTTAAAGTTATGATTGAAGTTTATTAAAAATGAAGACACTCAATTTTATCTTTTAACAAATTTAATTGATAATAAATGTTTTTTTAAAATAGCGTTAAAAGTGTGTTTATTATATCAATTTCCAACTAGAATTGACTGTATAAACCTTTTTCTGCAAAGGTTTAAGGTTAAGGTTTTGCGAAGCGCTTGGTTCCTCTAATGGCGTCCATCGTTTCCACCAAGGCCAACCAGTTTCGTTGTTGCACGCGTCTTCTCTTCTCACACCTTCTTCACCATGGCAGACCCTCCACGTTTTCAACACCTTTCTCTCCTCATCTTCTACTGCTCCATCACCCTCACCAGGTTCAGTTTCCTTTCATCGCTAGTCATCCCTAAAAAGAAAAAGAAAAGTACTTTTTGCAGATAAAGTTCATTGCTTTGATATTATCTCTCGTCCTTCTTCTTTCATCTCAACTGGGTCAGTTAAAATTCTCATTGGGTGTCTTTTTCCCTTTAATTTTTAGGTTGGGAATCAAGTTTTTGGTAATGGGTCGTTAGGGTTGTGTCAAAGGTCTCTATCTTCTACTGCTGCCAATGTTAATGGAGAAAAACCAGTCACAGATTCCGATCACTCTGCAAAAGATGGTTCTGGCCTAGGGAAGGAGTCTAAAGGTGGAGGAGAACAGGATCAGAAAAGTGATACTGGGAAACCTGTTCGTGGAGGGGTGTGTATATATATAAATATATCTCTACAATTGTTATTGCTAGCAATGTGGTTTTTATTCCTTGAACATTTTTATTTTAGTTAATGTCAATTTTCTATGATGAGGGTTAGAGTTGTGAGCTGATTTTGTGTTCTGTCTTGCAGCCTATATCTTGGTTGAGTTTCCTCTTACTGGTTCTCACTGGAGCTGGATTAGTGTTCTACTATGATAGGGAAAAGAAACGACATATTGAAGGTAGATTACTATGGTGAGTTGTGTTTTTTGTGGTATGCATGTGGTGGTGTCTTCGTGTACTGAGTTTATAGTGCCACATATTTGTTGCTATGGTGGATTGAATCTAGTTTGTGGGTGAAGTTCGCGTACTGAGTTTATAGTGCCACATATTTGTGTCTCACGAGTAGCATGAAAACAAATTATCAGATAGCTCCATTTCCTATTGCATTTCAATTTGACTCTAAGGTATTGTGGATGTTTCTTCTTCTGTTTATTGATTCAACTGTTGTTGCTGTAGAAATACGTAGTAATACGGAGGCAGTTAAGCAGGGGCCTTCTGCAGGAAAAGCTGCAATTGGGGGCCCATTTCGCCTTATCAACCATCATGGAAAACATGTAACTGAACAGGATTTCTTGGGAAAGTGGACTTTGATATATTTTGGCTTTACTCACTGCCCAGATATTTGTCCAGATGAACTACAGAAGTTAGCAGCTGCTGTTGATAAAATAAGTAAGCTTTCTGTAGGTGATTTGGTAGTGCATGTCAAGCTAAGTTTCATACTTTAACAGACCAAAATATTCTCTAATTTTTATTATTATAGTCAATAAATAATTGAAATACAATTTAATATCTGAAATACTGAAATTCATGACAGGTACATGTCTAGAGTGATTAAGTCATTGAGGTTCAAGGGCATAGTGATTAAAATGAACTTTCAAGTGCTTTTTGTTATTGCCATATTGATTTAACCTATGGCTGTAAAGAAAGTACATTACAGTTTTTGAATCTTAAACCTGTTGATGTTGTGATTATATACTAGTAGTGATAGTATCCATGTTTCTTTTGATTCACTGCAGAGGACAAAGGTGGAATTGAAACTGTACCAGTTTTTATCTCTGTTGATCCTGAGAGGGATACTGTTGAACAAGTGGGTGAATATGTGAAAGGTGCTCGGTGTCTATTTTTCAGTCCATTGTGTTTTCTTTTTTTCTTTTTTTTTTTCTCCCTGGAAGGAGGGGCCTTATGTAGATAGATATTTGTAACTTCATTTAAGATTATTGTGTTAATTTATATTTCTCAGAGTTTCATCCGAAGTTAATTGGATTAACTGGTAGCCCGGATGAGATCAAGAATGTTGCTCGTGCATATCGTGTTTATTACATGAAGACAGCAGAGGAAGACTCAGATTATCTTGTTGATCACTCCATAGTTATGTATGTACTATTGCTTGTGCTTCATATATGCTACATTCTGTTTCCCCAATTGGTCTTGGAGCTGTATCCTGGCAGTCTGCCTAACATTTGGTATCTTGATAATTGAAGTTGAAAACTTTTGGATGATCTAATCTTGAAATATTTTTATGCAAGGATGAGATGAGAGTAATGATTATGGAGGTGTTATTCATTAAGTTGTGAATGACCTAATGGTTGAAATATACCCATCGTGACAGAGTATTAACTTTTATCCACATGCATATCCATCTTATTTGGAACTAAGAAGCCTATGATTACTTTCCAAGTTGCTTTAACTTTTGACTAAATTGAACATTTCTGATAAATATCTGTCTGTTTCAGTTGTTAGTGCCAACATATTCAGATGGAGGATTTTTTGGCTATTTGTTTAGCAATTAGCATGCATAGCCAGATAATTTCATTGTCCTGGTTACTCCGATCTAGTGATTCTCTTTCTAATTATGCCTATGCATTTTCAGTGTTATCTGTGCGTATGTAATTGTGTATTTATTTGCTACATCTGCAGGATTGTATTGCTTTTGTAAAGGATGATTCTTGTTGAATAATTACTAATCTGCTATGGTAATTTTTTTCCAGATACTTAATGAGTCCTGACATGGAATTTGTAAAGTTTTTTGGCAAGAACAATGATGTTGACTCACTTGCTGATGGAGTGATTAAAGAGGTAAAGCAGTATAAGAAGTAACATGCACAACCTTGCTATTGGTGCCCTCATTTCTTTCACATGCGGAAACCAAATTGCCAATGAATTTTGGTCTTGTGGTAGTTGTTTACTACACCAGCATGTTTGAATATACTGCTCAAAGCTAGCTCCTCTTTAGGTGATTCTGGAGATTTTACAGTTTCAAAAAGCAACTAAATTGGTTTCATTTATTCAATGTTTAGTATTGTACTTAAAATTTTTTTGGAGATATGGTATTATTTATGTGCATTTTGAGAGAGAAAATGCCATGTTAAACATATACCTTATGTCTGATGTGGGAACTTATGATAAGAAATATCATGGTTATAGACACTTTTTTGATGAGATGTTAAATGACAATGCATTGTGTGTTATTACATAAAAATGAATTTAATTGCTTTCCTTTCTTTCATTAGTAGCAAGACCCTTTTTTTTAATGTTGCACTCTCCATTGACCATTTGCATGAATTTCTATATGCTGGTTTAAATGTGCTAGCTACAAATTTAGGACAACTAAGTTAGCTATAGTTCGGATCACTAAAAAAGCTACTAAAATCACTATTAAAAGAGTGATAAAGTGACTAAAGAAATTTGAATTAACGGATAGTATTGACTGTGTTCAATGTACCCTTTTGTGCCTAATTTTTACGATCATTTATTGTGTTTGATGGTTTTGCCTAGCTGCCCCTAACTTGCAAGATGATTTAAGCCTTACCCATTTTCCATTGTGCCTGATCCACCCCAAGAGTAAAGGTTTCCTACTGCTTCTTCTGTGATGTGATCCTTCCATTATCCCTTCCCCACTTTTAGTCATTTACTTTATAGTCAGATCTATCACATGCAAAGCATATTTGGTGAGGTATTTCATATTCGATAGTCCTTCATTGTCTGGTTTTAACTTGTTTTAAGTGTTTATATACTAAGATTTTCCTAAGACGTATCTACTAATTTATTATCCCACTGAATTCTGCAGAGTTCTTTCATGTGATAATAAATTATTTTCATTAATTGTTTATGTAACTGTCTTGCAGAATTTACTCTATGTAAATCCTGTCAGTTTTTTAACATGATCATTTGTGTCAAACTCATCCTAAGAAAAGAGAACTATAACTCAAAGATATGATCAACACGAATATATATTTATTTTTTCATCTCTTTTTTTTCTTATGAATCACATTGAAATTTTTTACCTTTACCTTTCATGTCTTTTTCATCTTCCATTTTAGGTGAACTTATTGAAAATAATGTCGGTCAAAGACTAATTATTCTTCAAAATTTCTTATTTTTCAGAGATTGACTAATTTATCTGTTTTACTTATTAAAATTAATTTATTTTTTAAACCTGTACATAAAGTTAGTAGTTAACCTTATATTATAAATAAATATATATATATATATATATATATATATATATATATATATTATCAGTTAAATAACTATTAGGATGATAACACAGTCCAATTTTATTATACATAATTTGATTTTATAAAAGCACTATAAATTTAAAAAAAAATACATAATGAAAACTTTAAATGTAAACACCTAATAATGTTATATAATATATATATATATATATATATATATATATATATATATATAATGATATTAATAATGAACTTGTTAGTTTTTATAATAAATATTTAATTGCTTCCATAAAATCCACATTATATTTTATTCCTTCATACAAAGTAAGTAGTTAACCTTATATTATAAAATAAAATATATATATATATATATATATATATATATATATATATATCAGTTAAATAACTATTAGGAGGATAACACAGTCCAATTTTATTATAAATAATTTGATTTTATAAAACACTATAAATTTAAGAAAAAATACATGATGAAAATTTTAAATGTAGACACAATATTATTTATATATATATATATATATATATATATATATATATATATATATATCATATAATGATATTAATAATGAACTTGTTAGTTTTTATAATAAATATTTAATTGCTACCATAAAATCCACATTATATTTTATTCCTTAATATAAGGTTAATAATGATATTAATAATTAATTTGTTAATTTTTATAATTTCATTGCTACCATAAAATTATACACATTATATTTTATTCCTTTTTTTTTCTTTTATATTCAACTTGGTCTTTATGATTTAAAATTATTATCTTTATTTATTTTTAACATTTAAAATTCAAATTGACGACGGCTTAAAAATGGTCTATAACTATTTTAACAAATCAAACAATTTTAAACTGTTAAAAATTTTCGTACATAAGTTATAAAAAAACTTTTGAGATAATTCAAACATTTTTTTGCAAATTTAAAGTAGAAACCCGAGGATTATTAGTCTCGCTTTTGGTATTGTTAGTTGCACAATTAATGAATTAGCAAGAAGATTTTAGCCTAAATCTGAATGATTAAATATGACCGTGAAAAGTTTTTCAACTATGAAATTTTCTTGTTGTAAGATGACCAGAGATCAACGAAAATGTTCAAACATTGAAAAAAAAAATATTGATTTTTTTTTTAAGTTTATTCTTATGTAAATTACTCAAACATAAGTTGTGTACTGAAAGAACACGGAAATATTCTTGACCTCGTACAACTGTTGCACCAGAAAATAGAGATATAGATATGATTTATGTGGAATATGCTTAATCACCTTAAGCAGGGTATTTGCTATACTCTGCACGCAAATAATGTTGTGAGGTCACATCTGTGTAACTAGTGGCATAGTGGAACCAGCAAGAAGTTGAAAGCTTTTAAGATTTGATGTTTGATTGTCATAAGATTATAAGGGACTGTCGAATCTTGAACAAGAAAGTGAAATAAGAGAAAGAAAATGTTCAGATCTTACTGTGTCAAACAGAGTTGTGAAGAAAATAAGATAGTTCCCTTGAATGTTTTATAAAAATTATGCAAACATTGAGTTATGTACTTCAAAAACATGAAAATAATTACTATCCGCATCCCAATGAAAGTTGGTAAATGTGAGAAATATTTGTCTGTTTTATGTGGAAGATACGAAAGTACTTTAAACAGGGTATTTGTTACACCCATGTGTTGATCTGCACACAAATACTGCCGCCGTCAGGTGATGATATAATTGAGGAACCAGCCGGAAGTCCAAAGCTTTTCAGATGTGATGTTTGATTGTTGTAAGATTGCAAGAATTATGGAATCTCCAAGAAGAAAGAAAGATGGGAGGAAAAAAATGTTCAAATCTTAATCTTAATCAGAATTGTTGAGATAAGAAAGTTTCTTATGATTTTATTCTAGAGAAAATTATTGCTTTTAAGTGATTTATAACCACCATTTCAGTTATAAACATGATTATTTTAAATGGTTTTTAAAATTTAAAGAACTAAAATATTCTTCTTAAAAAGTAAAATAGTAAACTGGAAAAAAAAAATGAAAGAGTAAGAATAAAATTTGATCCAAAAGTTCTGTAGATTAAGTAAATATATTATTGGATATTTGTCATTGAAAAAGAAAATAACCTTTAAGTTGTAATAAGAATCGGGTCAAGTAGAACCCGGTTTGAGTCAGAAGTGAGTGACCATTGTCTTTGTTTATTATAACTACTTTATCACCACCACTAACAGGATCGATAACCCCTGGCTTTTTCTGTGTATCCGAGGCATCTTCAAGCTCTGAATCTTGGATGGCTTCTCTACTCAACATGGTTTCTGTCCCACCAAGAATATCACCACCCTCACACGCCAGAACCCCTTCATTTCAAGCTCGACCAGTTTTGCCACCCTTTTCTCTCTCATTTTCCAGTACGTGACTCACAACTCCTCTTTCTGGTTGCTCTTTCGCTGAGCTCTTGTGTGTTCTGGATACCCTTTCGGGCCTTCTTTTGTTTCCCTTCCTCCAATGTGTTAACCAGTCATGCTCCAAATAGTTTCTCAGTAACCAACATGACAAAAGTTGCAGTTTTTATGTTTTTTCTATTTGTTTTGTTTTAATGGTTTGAAATTTTCGGCCTGTGTGTGGACATTGCAGGGAGGAGATTATCCATTAGAGCAACAGAAACTGATACTAATGAAGGTGTTTCTGGGTTTTATGGATTGATGTTGCTGTTCATTTCATTTCCCATTAATTTTGTTTTCCTCACAGAAAGTTTTGGTCTTTTTGTCCCAATTGGTGGGGTGTTTGATTTGAGCAGTTAAATCTCAGGCGCCGGGTACAGCGCCATCTAAAGCTGGTTCAAGCTTCAATCAGCTTCTTGGTATTAAAGGAGCTGCCCAAGAAACAGTGAGTCTACCTCAACAGTAATTGCAATTGTCTTTTCACTGTCTGATGTAGATTTATCGATTGAGTAACTGAACTTATTGAATCAATCTAAATTAACAGAATTGCAACTACTTGATTCCTTGAGCAAGAACTTTGCATGTGTGTGTTTATTGTAGTTCATGGAAGCTCAAAAACCTTATATATATATATATATACTAAAATAAGTGATTGTTTAATTACAGTCATAGAATCAATCTGTATGAAAAAATTGCAACAGTTTTATTACCACTTGATAGGGTTTTAACTTGCAGTTGCAGTTTTGATTTTGTTGCTATATTTGATATTAAGGAAAATTACAAACAAATGTTGATAATGCAGCTGCAATTGCAGTCGTAGAGACCCCAAAACCGTATTGCCTAAAAACTTACCAATTGTCCTTGAGCAGAAATTTTTCTTTACAAGTCAACTGACGACTGGATAGTTAGTTTGAATCGTTTGATGGAAGTTGTATATAGCTGTTTGAATCTGTCAAAACCAAATTACTGTTAGCACACCCTGAGCGTAGTACTAGAGCAAAGTTGCAAGAATTGGATCACAACTAACCCAGTTTTCTTAGTTGAAATTTGATGCTCTGCTGGATTTGCTTTTTATTTTACCTTGGAATAGAATTTGCTTGGGTAAGTTATTAGATTTTGATTATTGGATATTTAGCAGTAATTAACTACTTAATTAATTTTAATTAATATTTAAAAAATGTACAAAGAATTAAATGATTAAAGTAGTGATAATCTTTATTTACATTGCACAAAATTCAAGGGTAATTTTCTTTCTACATGAATATACTTTAAATATGTAAGATTGAACCGACTGAAGGACTGAAAAAAATGTGTTATCTCGTGCAACTAAAATGGGAAACAAAGCATCCTTAGTATAAGAAACTGACATGAATTTGAAACACTGAATTTCTCATTGAACTGTCATATAAGAAATTGTCTTCGTATTTTTATATGCTAACTCTTCTTAATCTGCATATTGCACTGGTGTACTGTACATTGATCTGAATGTGTCTTTTACAATCCACCAATGTTCATTAATCTATTCTTGTTTTCACACACATTATTGAAAGATAAGTTTAATTTTTAATGTTTGGTCACAGTAAGGTTAAATTTGGTTCTGAATTACTAACTATTGAATCTTCAAGTTCATTGCATAGTAAAATGATTATCTAATAACTCTTTTTGAAAAATATTAGCCTTTTATAATTGGTTCTGTAATGTACTGTGCAGAATAAATGGAAGATCCGTCTTCAACTTACAAAGCCTGTCACTTGGCCTCCATTAGTTTGGGGTGTAGTTTGTGGTGCTGCTGCCTCTGGTATTAAATTCTATCAATTAGCATAATATTGAAAGTGGCATGCATGATCACAAAGAGTTTGGTCCTGCATATTTATGGGATAATTGTTCACACATGTTGAAAGTTCTATATTGAATGCCCATCCTTCATGGTATAGATTCACACATGATTTGAAACAACTTGATGAAGTTCTCAATCTACTACGATCTCTGAGCAGGAAATTTTCATTGGAATTTTGAGGATGTTGCTAAATCAATTGTGTGCATGATGATGTCTGGCCCATTCCTGACAGGATATACACAGGTAATGTAATATAAAGTTTTGCCAGCTGCTATTGGATGGGAGTATCACTATCAACTGACATAAGTGAATTATTGGGCTTTTAATTTTTAGACTCTGAATGATTGGTACGATAGAGAAATTGATGCAATAAATGAACCTTATAGGCCAATTCCTTCTGGGGCAATATCAGAGAATGAGGTAAATTGTGAATCCGAGACCGACATATCTTTTCCAGTTGCGTATGTGTTCACCTTTTGCTCAAAATCCTGCAGGTAATCACTCAAATATGGGTGTTGCTGCTTGGAGGTATTTCTCTGGCTGGTATATTGGACATATGGGTGGGTACAGTACACAATAGTCTTATTATCCATCACTCTGAGTTCTTAATGTCAATTATCAGAAGCTTGATTGGAAAAGGTATTCTCCTTTACAGGCAGGGCATGATTTCCCTATAGTATTTTACCTTGCAGTGGGTGGAGCCCTACTGTCTTATATATATTCTGCCCCTCCTTTGAAGGTATGTTTAAAGAATCTCCTGATTTTTTCTTTCTATTTTCTAATCCTTTTGTCTATGATTATATTTGACCAACTTCTATATTTATTTCTAGTTAAAACAAAATGGATGGATTGGAAACTTTGCTCTTGGAGCAAGTTACATTAGCTTGCCATGGTGGGGTACCTTCTACTTTGATAAACTCTAATTGTTATAGATTTAAACTGTTTCCCTGGTTAGTGTACATGTCGGTTTTCTATCTTATATTTTCAAAGGGACTAGTTTAAAATAAACAAAACAATATAAGGATTAAAACAAATGAAATAAATAATATACTGAGATTAAAGTAAAATAACAAAGACTGAAATAAATAAAAAAATTACAAAGATCAAATGGAAAGTAATTTATTATGAGGCTTGATGCAGCTGCAAGGTTCATTCACTTCCCATACATACATTGAAACCAACATATTTCCAAACGCACACTGAGCCTTTTTTCACTTGGTAAGAGACGGGCTACATGGAGCCCTGTTTATAACATGATAAAAATGACTGCTTTAGAATCGCATTTTCTTGGGATGTGGCAAGTATTGCTGCAAGCATGTAACTGGGTTAATCCTACATTTCGTCAACGGAGAATTATGATTAATCTGACCTTGTTTGATTTACCATTATAAGATATATTTTCTTGACATGCACAGTATCAGAAAGTCTTGATCAATTTCTTACTGACAGGTGGGCTGGTCAAGCTTTGTTTGGGACTCTTACACCAGACATAATTGTTCTCACACTCCTTTACAGCATAGCTGGAGTATGTAGTATATGCTACATGGCATTCTGTTGGATATGATAATACGTCACATGATACCTTGGACTGTAGATTAATATTTTTGCTGTACCACATTGCAGTTGGGAATTGCTATTGTTAATGACTTCAAAAGTATTGAAGGGGATAGAGCTCTAGGGCTTCAGGTCTATTCTATTAGCCTCTGTCATTCAATAACAGTACTCTGAACTTTTTCATGTTTCAGAAATTCTACTCATGCACGGTCGTTGAAGTAGCTTCTGCTGACTTTTCTATTGGCTCCCTTGTTTGAGTAGTCTCTTCCAGTTGCTTTTGGTGCTGAAACTGCAAAATGGATATGTGTTGGCGCTATTGACATTACACAATTATCCGTAGCTGGTAAATTGTGATCCCTTAATATAAACAAGTAAACACTTTATATTCTATAATGTATTTTATTGTGTTACAGGGAACCACAATTGGCTATACCCTTATCGACAACTATTGTTTGACATTTGCTTTATTCTTTTTGTCTAAACCAGAGTTGTACTTGGGTTATAGTTTTTAACCATTTTTTGTGCTGTCATAGTCAGTTTTTTTGTAAATTTCTTTCCAAACCAAGTCTAAAAAATACTAGTATGGTTACAAAAATGATTCCTGATGTATTGAAGTTGCATTGTTTACTATGGAAACCAGCTTTTTAGGAGGGTTGAGGATTTTTGTTTTTCATTTCTTTTATGTATTTAATGAAGAAAAGGCAGGGGAGAGACCAGGTAGTTATTGAGTAACTGCTTTGAATATATAATGTTGTTATTCAATAAGTGAAATATTATTCTTCATATCTTTCTAAAAGTAACTGATGGTTCTTATGATCATTCTTATAGACTCTGCATTTGTTCTTTTCGGTGCTAATAATATATAAGGATAAAGTATCATGTTTCAGATGATTGTTGGATTTTGGTAAAGCAGTATTTTTCATTAGTAATCAATATTTACTCTTGTAACAAGAAATGCAAAATGGATCACATTCTAATGCAAAGAATTTTATGTACACTTACGGTTGCAGGATATTTACTTGGGGCTGATAAACCGTTTTATGCGTTGGCTTTAGTTGCCTTAATTATTCCACAAGTCATATTTCAGGTAAAGCAAACTATTATACACATGTTAGATATTAATAACAATCATGTGAGTGCTAAACGCTAAACCGTTCTTATCATTTGTGCCTTGCAGTTCAAGTACTTCCTCCAGGACCCTGTGAAATATGATGTTAAATATCAGGTACATAATGAATGCTTAAATATAGCTTACAAGCATGACAAAATGGAGGATGTTCATTGTATTTGAGATGATATATTAGTAATTATTTCAACTTTATCTAACATTTCTTTCTATTTAATTTTCAGGCTAGTGCACAGCCATTTTTGGTGCTTGGTCTGTTGGTTACTGCTCTAGCAACTAGCCACTGATCTTCATTCGCAAAGAAGTTACCGAAGGGCCATTAATTCTTATAGAATAAAGAAGGGACTCACCGATTAGAAGGATATGTGACACACCTTTCGTTTCCTCCTTATCTTTCTTGCTCTCTACTCTTATCCCCTTGCTCAATTTTTGAGGATGAGAAATGGTTTCTTTCTCTTTAGGGAGCTTTAAAGGACAATGAATTGTACAAAGTGTAGACATATACATTTCCCTTGAACCACGACCCTTTCCCTTGAACCACGACCCTTTTCACCTATCTTTGATTTGAGATAAAAAAAATTAAATCTATTTGAGATTTGAGATTTAATTTAAAGCTATTTTCGCTGTTCCCTCCCGTTTTGTTTTGATCCATTTCACCGTTCACAGCAGAATTCATTACCATATGTCCTTATTCATACAATAATTAAGCAGCACAAACATGGATCAATAGTATGATTTTCCAACACTAATATCACTAGTTTTTGTCTCTTGCATCATACTTTCTATGCACTCATGACAGTGAGAAAATTTATTCTCTACATAAAACATGCCTTCTTTGTTCATTGTGACACGAAAAAATTTATGCAGAACTGAACACATAACTTGATTGTTAGTTTCTATTTAAACTTTCATATGGCCAATATGAAAACTAGATGAAACTAGACAATAAACTTCATTCAACATTAAGTACTTAACACTTCCTTCAAGATCACTACAATAAACATAACCCATTTTTTACCCTAAGCGAAAGACTGCCTAGGCTTCATAAACCTAAATAGTTAGCATTACTTCCAAACAGGAGCATCAAAAAATATTCATCATAGTACTAGTCTATAGTCACCTACACATATTCACGGCTACATCAAAACGCAGATACTAAGCAAATACTACAAAACACTACTTCCTCACACAAACTTTAGTTTTTCTTAAACTTGGACTCATCGATTTCTATGCCTTCCTCTTCAGCACGTTCTCCACCAGACTTGTCCATGGTGCTGAGCCCTCCTTTGCGTCCCATCTCTTGGTACCCTTCTTTCCCCATCTGTTCCTTCCTTGTCTGCCCTCCTTTGGTTCCCATCTCATGATACCCCTCTGACCCCAGCTGCTGCTTCCTCGTCTGCCCTCCACGGCTCCTTCCTGCACAAACATTCACATCAGAGAAACTCATCTTAAATAAAAGAATAACAAATGTCTTCTTCAATGAAAAAAAAATTGACAATTAACATTTATTCTTGAGAAAGAGAGAGATTGCATATGCATGCATGCCTTCAGCAAGATGTTCTTGAGCCTCAAGACTCTTCCCTCCAGTTCCCCCAGGAACCACAGTTTCGCCTTGCTTTGCCCTCTCATCAAGTTCTTTGCGGTCTTCTTGTGTGGATGCCATGTTATTTTCGTAGACTAAGATTTTTCACACCTCAGGTAAAGACTTCAAGATTTTTCTGATGCCTGAGGTAGAAATGTTCATCATTTTATAACTTCAGAATATTATTATGGAAATGTAGGTGCTGGCATGCATGCACACGTGGCTTTAGGTGAAAGAGTACACGCACTTGTAAGGTGACACTGAAGATGGCATATAATGACACATACTATTCTTTGTCTTTAAATTATGTTACATGAAATATAATTTATAATGTGATTTGGGAATAAAGGCCATCTAACTATTAAATTATTATGCCTATCTAATTTAGATAAAACTAAACATTTTATGAATGTGATTTTTTATACTTGAAATTTACTTGCATTTCAAAATATTATGCATTAAAGTAAAAGTGAATGATAAAGTATCAATAACTTTTAAATAATATAAAAGTTTATTGATCTGCTATATTTGATAAAAAAAAGTGAACTGAATGTTTGATTAATGAAGTTAAATATCTAGAAAAATGTTATTTAATTGTTTATTTACGATTTCGGTTCTCTATTTTTCTTTTAAATTTTAGTTCATCATTTTAAAAAATATATATAATTTAAATTCAATACTCAATTTTGTACAAGTGGAATTTTATATTTTAATTAAATAACTTATTTTTGTATGGTTTCTTAGTTGAATATGTTAGGTTTAGGATTCAATTACACTAAAATAAAAGAAATAAAAACGTTTCTGAAATTGATAAGTATAAACTAATTTGTGAATTTTTTTAAAATTTGAAGACTAATATTAAAAAAAATAGGAGACCAAAATTACAAATAAGTTAATTTATTAAGGGAGAGTGTTAATTAAAGAATTTTATATATTAATTTAAATAAATATGAAATTAAATATTGTTCTGTTATATCAGATTAAAGAAGAAAAAACTGATTTATTAATATAAAAACTGATCAATAAGACACATTATAAAATTAGCTAAATAATTATCAAATATATAGTATAAGGATTGGTATACTTCTCTCAGAGAAATTATTAAGAAAATAATATGTTTATTTATCATTGTTATACTTTTATTTTTATTTTTATTTTGGCCTTAATTGGGAAAATAAATAAGAATATAATCTGATACGTAATCAAACAAAAAATCATAAATCTATATTTTTTTTATAGGGAGCAATTATAATTTGTTAATTTCCAACCATACAATTAACCATGAAAGAAATAATTATAAAAACTAAAATTACCTTGTAGTCTTAAAGAAACAGAGTGCAAATATTCGTATTTATGAAGCAAAAGGTGACATTTAATTGGAGAATTTCTTAAAGAATCATTGGTGACAGTGAAAGAAAGAAATCAACTAAATATTGTCCATTGGTTTCTTTCTCTTCTCTGTGAGTGCATAAAATACGTTTAAAACGTAATCGTTTAATACTTTGAGACTTCAAGTACAGACGTGGCTAAACTTTGATTTTGTCAAGTCTTCCTTTTTTTTCCATGCCATGTTACCTTCAACTCTGCCCCACGATATATACCTCTCCCATTCCTTTTGCCAGAACAGAATCATTGGCTCCTAGTTAGAAGGTTACCAGATTTAGAGAAAGAGAGATTTAGAGAAAGAGAGAACAAGATATGTCTTCATTGAGGTTGGTGTACTTATCATCACTGTTAACTTTGTTTGAAGATGCTGCTAGTCACCATTATCTTTTACATGCTTATTTTGTAGTATCTCACTATCTCGGTTTTCAGTGTAGAGTTGCACCAAATATATGTTTGACCCTTTTGTTTCTTCTCAATGAAGGTGGTTAGGAATCTGTTCATAGAGTTGTCAGAGAACCTTGACAAGTTCTCAACACTGTTGTTTACTCTTATTACAGCAACAAACACTATGTTCATAGAACAGCAGAAGGAGATGATGCTTCTGGTTTTGACCATTGTTCTGTACTCCTTCTTGGTGATCATTGGAACAATACTTCAGATGCATAACAGAAGCCTTCTTCCAATCATAATTTGTGGCATGTTTCTTGTGGGAGGTGCTGCCTCATTTCTGGCTTTGAATATCATCTCATTAAGTGTCGCTATTGTCACTTTGGTTTTGTGGGTTGGAATTTTGACATTGGTTGTGTATATGTATGTTGTCCCTCAAAGAAGTTCATGTTTGTCGCTACCTCTCTAGACAAAAGCAGAGAAACCCTGCCAAATTCTGTTCACATTTATTTAGTGTCATTGTTTCAAATTTAGGCTTTGTTTTGTATCTGTTATGGTTTCCTTTGTTTTTAGTCTGAGTTTGGATTCTTGAGTTGGAAAGAATCTGTCATGAAATAGTAGTAACTTTCTTGTTTTTAATAGTTACAAAATGTCGAGCTTTTCCCCTTTATGGTTATTTTTCAACAATACCTTAAAATCACTTTTTAACAATTTATAAAATATTGCAAATAATTATACATATAATTAATTATTAAAATAATACCATTTTCAATATGTCCAAACACACTTTTAATTGAAGGTATTTTTCTTTTTGTTGGAGATAAGAATGCAAGATCAATGATGAATGTAAAAGAAACAAACAAATAAATGAAGACGATGAAATCAAAGTTAATGACCTGTTAATTGGTGAGCAAATAAATATCACCACAAAGAAAAAGATAGATTTCACCCTTTACTGTAAGTAGTGCAAATTTTGGTTATCTTAAATAAAGTCTTGAATTTAAGTATGAAAATGAGAAGTTATGAATAAGAAAGAAAATTTCATTTCAAATAATCAATAGATCCCCAATAACAGTCCGAAACAACTTAGGCCAAAACCTCAAAAAGAATATATCCAATTTCATCAGTGACGATGTGTGTGAATGCAAAATGTAAAATTAGTAATAAAAGAAAGTATAAAACGTAGCGCGTTTAGTACTTTGTAGGGTCCCATAAGATTTTTTACAGTAGAGAAGGTTTTTTTAATGCATCATTCCCTTTCAATTTATCCATATATCTATGAAGTTATGATAAACTAAAAACTTAACATCGATATAAACGTTGACCAAAATAATATTACTATAACTTATATAAGGTCAAAATATTAGTTTTTTCTAAATGAAAAAGTATTTATTTTACATTCCAAATTCTTTTTATTTCCATCACTGTTATTTTGAATAATTATTCTTCGTTTCATTTTTTTTATAGGGATGACAATTAAATTCGTACTTACGGTGATTAATCTATTTTTGTTCTAAATTTGACGGAAAAAAAAATTAAGTTGACCGAGAACGGGAATGGGGTTAGTTTGGATTTTTTTCGACTTTAAAATGTCGAGAACGGAATAGAGGTTGGGATTGGGATGAGTATTGCAATCCTATTCCGGTCTCGTTACGTCCGACTTTATATTTAAATTTAAATTTTAGATTATTAACATCTTAAAAGTATTTATTTTTTCTTTTTTCATTATATATAAAGTCATTTTTTATATTTTACCATTTTTACTTTTTTTTACTCATCTTTTAATTCTTGTCTCTTTTTAATCTTTTATATTAATTATATCATTACATTATTTTCTTTCTCTTACCTTTCACATCTTCATATTTCCTTAATCTCCCAAATCAATTTATTTTTACAATCTTTTCAACCAATTTAACTAATACAAAGTTATTTTTTCTTCTTCTTTATCTTTTTTAAATATTTTACATAAATCTTAATAATAACTAATATTATTTTATTTATAATTTATCATTATTAGGTTTTATTATGTCATATTTTTTTATCTTATTATTCTTATTTGTCATATATCAAATTTTATTTTAATAAAATAATTGTATTTTAAAGGATTAAAAAGAATTAATATTTTCAATTTTTATTACTTTGAACTAATTAAATAAGAATTAATTTATTAAATATTTTCTTATAAATTATAAATTTCATAATTTTAACAACTTAAAAAAGAATTAACATAAACAAACGCTTGAATTAATAATAATAATAATAATAATAATATAAGCATTCTATATTTATATAAAAAATAATTAAATATTTCTTTTATATACATATGTTACAAATTATAAAATTATAAATATTTATTTATGTATAAAAAATATATAAAAATATTAAATTTTATTTATTATAAGTATAACTTTTTTAGAAATAATGTAGATCTAAGAAGCGAAATACAACGAGAATAGAAATGAAAATTTAATTTCTAATCTCAACGAAGATCGAGGACGGTTAAAACAGTTATAGAAGAAGATCAGGAAGACAAAACTTGTCTCAGTCTGCTCGTTGTGATACGTAAATCTATTCATTTTAAGAATATTTGTGTATTCATACATTCATTTTTTTTCATAAATTAAATAATATAAAAAAATCTAATATTTTTTAAATTTTAAATTGAATCTGTGTGAATTTTAACTTACTTTCTAGATATCTAACAATTCATAAGTATTAATTAATTTAAGAGTTAATATTAAGATTAAGATTTTTGAAAGATAAAATTATGGATAAGAAACATTCTTCTGATCCCTAAATAAAAATAAAAGAATTTGGGAAAATATAATTTTATTTTTCTCCTTTAACAATGTGTGACGGCCGGAACAACAATGGCTTTTTCATAAACCATTTTAACATCTTTCAAATGCTTCTTCATTCACACTTCATGCTATCTATTTATCCTACCTCTTCTTTCTGTTATTCACCAATATCATATTTTTGCTTGTGTCTGTGTTTTCTGTGACATTCTGCATGAGCTATATTTATAGCAAAACATCATCTTATCGTATAGTTCTAGACTTGCTTGGATCACTTTGGCCATGCGGATTGGAATCTTCATCATAGGATAAAAAATTGACTCCTATTTCAACTTTAATTCATTAAAGTTGAAAATTCACTCTCAAACTTTGTACCTTTTGTATATTGAACAGAAAGTTATGTGCCTCTGGCGCAGTTTGCAGCAATCAAAGTTTGCATGTCACTGTTTCTACTTTGTCTTCAATTTTGTTTAAGTTTCTGAGTTTTATTTTAAAATGGTTATTTGATAATTCACGGCTTATTTTATATAAATTTTAGTTATATAAAAAGATATTTACCATATATAATGTACAAATTTAAACACTAATTATAATTACAAATATAAACTCAATAAGTAATATGAAATAATTAATTATGTACCCCACATTTTAAATATATGTATATGAATGTAAAATTGGAATGTTGCATTCTTTGAATATGGAGTCAATGATATATCATTGAATATTTTGTGAAACTTCTATACATTTAATTATAATTATTATAAAAAAATTATTTCCTTATATAAGATTAGGTTAAGTTTTTTCTTATATCTATATAAAAGGTATTTCTTTTGTTATAATCTTGTTAGAAAAATAAATAAATAAATGTAACTCACCTTAATGAGAAGTTTTAAAACTTACAATAAAACTTAAAATTAATGGTAATAAATTTAGTGAACAGTACATAGAATTATCCAACTGAGATGATAATATAGGAACTTATATTGGAAAATTGATAATAACCAACTTGATTGAGGTTAATTATATAAAGGAAACACTGTCTCATCAGTCATAAATGTTACTCACTATTAATCATCATAAAGAATAAGAACAAGAAAAAAAGATAAATAAATAAATTAGAAAAGATGATTGAAGAGTTTATTTTTATTGGATTTCTCGTGAATAAGTTAAGAACTCCTTGGTCATTTATACAAATAGTAGACTTTAAGATTACTATAATGTATAATAACTTTTTAGTATTTAAGAATACATAAAGTTACAACTTACCTGGAATATAACATATAATTTGAAATTTTATCGATTCTCCTTCTATTTATACTTCTTCTACTTCACTTCAAGCACTCATCTTTTTATTTTTCATATTTCTACCTTTCTCTCTGTCACTCCTCCACTTACTATTTTTCTTTTCAATTTTTTTTAATTTTTACATTTTTTTAAGTAACTTTCTATTATTTTTATTCACTATTATAATATAATATGTATATTATTTGTTATCAATTAGATAGTTATTTTAATATTTTTATGATTCTCAGTTTTGATATTAAAATACAAAGAAAAGAAAATTGAGTGAAGTTTTAAAAATATTGAAGAAAAGAATTATATACTCATTTTCGTCAGATAAACAAGATATATTATAAAATAAACTTTAACTTATGAAATTTAAATTCAATAAATAATATTATTATCGAGCAACATTTATTATTTTTATAATATATAATATTGTTGAATACAATTAAAATATATTTAATTTCATATATATTTGTTTTATATTAACGTTAAATATACATAAATAATTATATAAATAATAATTATATATAATACATTGTTTTTATACCATAATTGATTTTAATGTAAATATATTATTCAATCAGGTCTTTCATCTAAAATTCTTAAATTCGTACCTAAAAATGTAAGCACAATTTTCTATATATTTAAAAAAGAATATTATGTATTCAAATTAAGATAATATTTAATAAGGTAAGATAACAAACGAGGGCTTATTTACTTTCGCAAACTAAGGTTATAAGGTAACATCGACTCACTCTTTATAAAATTATATTTTTAGGTTTATTAGATTTTACCTGTTATTTAAAAAAAAATTAAACATTGTCTCACAAAAATGTATTTGTTAGATAGCATAGATTTTTTCTTTTCTATATTTCACAAACCATAAACTTTAACCTTAACCCTAAATGATGATATTCGTCCACCTTATCCATAAAAAAATTTAATACTTATTCTATTCAGAATTTCATCAATTATATTTAAAAAAAATAGCTGAATTTCACTAATATTTTAATATTAACAACAGTAATAAATCTAGAATATTAACTTTAGAAAAGTTAAATAAAATATTATTAATAAATAATAAACAAATATAAACAAATATAAAAATATAGGAAGTCAAAAATATAAATATATAAATAAGTATATTTAGTGATAATTTGAAGAGATTAAAATTATAAATATATATTCGTTATGGTTCATAATTAAAAATATTAAAAAAAAACATCTTAATAACAATAATTATATGATGAATTATATATAAGATTTTAAAAAATATTGTCAAATTTTTTATTAATCTTTCATGATTTATTCAATTTTTAGTGAATCAAGTAGTTTTGTGCTTGTTTGAAGTGTCAACCCATGTGTTTTCAAAATAAAAAGAGAT